CGTCGAACAGTTGGTGGGCAATCAGAGGCCGTCACCCAACCTTCCATGGGGTCGTTATAAAAGCTGCCATGGAGGTTTTCCGACATTCAAAGGGTCAAGTGACCCCATTTATCCCTATGTGAGTCCGCCACAGCTTGTGACGGTCATGCCAACCACTGTTTCACATTCAAAAGTCAAACAAGTTTGTTGGCTCATTGTGTTATGGTGGAGGAGAAAGATATTCATACAAGAGATGAATAATTTTGAAGGCTTTGACATTTAGAGATAAATGGATGATATCGATAATAAAAATTTGAGGGTTGAGATGGTGTAGGGGTCTTTTTGTTTTAGCAGCCTGACGAATGGGCTTGGGCTGCCGTAAGGAAAAGACAAACAAAATTGCCCTTGTGCCTGAGTTCGAGAACCAGGATCCAAAAGAGTTTTGAAAAGTTTATGAAACCTTAGAAAACACATTGGGTTCCTTTCACCAATAATGTTGGTTCTATCCTTAACAACTAAAATGAGTTATTAAAAAGAACAACTTTAATTCTCGTAAGTGCACGAACCGTTTATTGTATAGCTTATGTAAATACGAGGTCGATCCCACGGAGAATGGTAACTTCGTTCCAAGTTAAATTACTTAGAATGCTAGAAAAATATAGAACAAAGAAACTAACTAACTAGCTAAAGGCAAGCTCGAATTCAACAATGCCTCTTGTTAATTACTCAAGGTCTATGACAGAATCATAGCACCACACATGCACTCGAAATGGGGGGTTTTGTTGTTGAAATGAAAAGAAGAAAGTGAAATGAAAGTGCTCGAAAGTAAACACTGGCAGCAATCAACAAGTTGTGAAACAATTATTGTGATGTGTTAGAGCTTTGGAATCCACCACTAGTTTTCCTATCCAAGTTATGAATGCATAGAAATTGACTCAAGCTTCATCAACAATAGATTATTGCATACAAGCCTATGGTATCTAGGTGCAGGATGCATGATTCTCCTAAGGCATATAATTGTGTATGGTATCTACATAATACGTGATCTCTAATATGCAACCTAAGCATGGTATCTACTTAGAATAAAGCATACAAGAGTCATTAAGCTCTATGAGACTATGATAATCACACAAGTCCTAGAACATGATCTGTCCTAGTCAACCTATGGTTATTAACCCCTTGAATGATTGTTAGGCCATTTATGTGTTGCTTGTGAAAGAGAGTAGAATTGGTGAATCTAAATCCTTTCCCAACCTGTGACAGATGCATAAAATCCTAGTTAGCTACTCCAAGAAAACATACATCAAGCACATAATAAACTGGAGATTAACAACTTGATAATGAAAGCAAGGAAATCAATTAACTATAAAATCATCCATAACATTGAATATTCATGACTAAGGCTTCATCCTAAGCCCTAACTAAATGGATTAGTTAAACATAACTATGAATACAGAAAATAAGAAATACATAGATAGGATAAAGAGAAGAGAAGAACTAGCTGGCATCAATGTAGTTCCCAGGACAGCTCCAAGCTCTCTTCTCTCTTTGTGGTGAATCTGAATGTGTGTATGAGAGTAATGGATGAAGTGAATGTGTGTCTTTACCTCCCCATTGAATGAGTGTGCAGCTCTCTATTTATAGAGTGTAATTTTGTCCTCCCTTCTGGCTGGTGAATCACACCTTTCTTTACTGCTCCCAATTGCTCCAGCTGCCCATACTTGCCAACTGCTCCAGCTGCCAAATACATGCTTTGGTATGGTTTCTTTATGGAAAGCTTGACTTTTGTTCATCTTTTTGAGTTCCTAAGCTGATTTTACTCTCATGTGTGGCTGCCCATGTGTAGCACATGGCTCTAGGGATGTAGCCGCATTAAATGTGATGGCAGCCAACATGACATTTCTGTGAACTTGGTTCAGTTTTTGACATGTTGAGGGCTCCAGATTTATCCAATTGGGCTGCAATTTGGATATGTTATAATAGACACCCATTGGAACAACTTCTATCAAGGATGTCGCCTCATCTGACATGTGTAAGTTGTTGAAATGATGCCTGCAAGATGACCTACGAAACTGAACTGACAAGGAATATGGTCCAAATTGGGTTTGTCTTTAAGCTCATGTTCCTCTTATACCAATCAGCCCTTAACAAGCATGGATGACATCAAATGTGATCTCTTGCTGTCTTAACCTACAAAACAAACAAAAAGAGGTAAGTGACTCAAAATAAAGAGAAACTAAGCAAAGTCACTAAGTAAAGAAGGCATGCGAATGTATGAAATTATGAACTTATCAAATAACCAAATGAATGAGACAGATTAGTAATATGGCTTGACTTGATAAGCTTGTCGCATGGGAGCTAAGCCTTCACGAGTTTAGCAGTAGAGACAAAAAGCATGAATTTCTAATGGAAACAAAGGCTTAAAGTAAGGGGGAGAAAGATTTGGGAAGATTTTGACTAAGGAAGAAAAGGGAGAGATAGAAGCAGAGAATGGGGTGCCTTGAGTAAATTTCCAGCTGATCGACAAAAGCTTGGCCATGCTCTAGATGGTGGTGTGTTTGCTGGGTAGAAGAAGTCTCCTTTTATAGGCGCTGGAACCTTTAATTTTATCAAGCCTTTCTCTCCATTTTCCTTCACTTTCTCCCATACACTCTTATTTGTTGAAATTTCATCAGCCTAAGCGTTTATGCACCAAGCCTTTTAGGGTTCCAAGATCTTTACGCAGCTGGACCTCTCCATGTGAGTGAGGCGCCACCCTCTTTTTATTTTGGTTTTCCTATTAGAGCTTGCAGAAGAAAGAAACAGGGGTAAATGCATTAGTCTAATAGGTATTCCTCTTGCGCATATGAATCTCCGTTGGTTTTTACAGGGGCCTGCTATTTGACTTGGTTATGTGGTTTTTGACAAGCTAGATACGATGCTAGATATTTTATAAGGTACTGGGCTGGGCTTTTCTAAGGTATTGGGTCGTTGGCATTTTTATTTTCGACGGCCAGCTAATCCTTCATGGTTTCGTCAAGCTGCTGGAAGCAACTTATTTGCTTCGTTCTTTGTCAAGGCACTGGGCATCTTAGTTGGTGCGAGATTTTCCTAAGATTTGCAGCCTATTGGATATCTTCCTAAGGCATTGGGCCATTTTTTCTTTCTCCCTTGCTTACCCATATGTTTAGACTCAAGAAATGGACTCGAGTTTTGGTACTTCGAAGTAGCCCAAAACTTCCATCCCTTGAACCTTCAATAGGCCTCGTGAATACTTATAACCATTCATACCACAACCTACTCAGCAAGCCCCAGGCGTTCACGTGGCTTGGGTCCACTTAAGCTTGCAGTGCAGCTCGATGTCAAACTCACATCCCTGGATCAGGTCCGCTGTAGAACGATATTGTCCGCTTTAGGCCCCCCTCTCTGTCCTCACACTTTTGTTTATGGGAACTCATGAGCAACTTCCCAGTGGGTCACCCATCCTGGGATTGCTCTAGCCCCAACTCACTTAACTTCGGAGTTCCTATGACTCCGAAGCCAGTGAGCTCCCAAAAGGCCTCGTGCTAGATGGAGGCAGGCATGTATATATAAGGCACATCACCTCTTCTCCATTGGTCGATGTGGGATGTTACAATCCACCTCCCTTAGGGGCCCAACATCCTCATCGGCACACTTGCACCACACGGCAGAGTGGCTCTGATACCAAATTGTCACATCCATGATATTGTCCGCTTTGGCCTCCCCTCTCTGCCCTCACGGTTTTGTTTCTGGGAATTCACGAGCAACTTCCTAGTGGATCACACATCTTGAGATTGCTCTAGCCCCAACTCGCTTAACTTCGGAGTTCCTATGACTCCGAAGCCAGTGAGCTCCCAAAAGGTCTCATGCTAGATGGATGCGGGTATGTACATATAAGGCACATTACCTCCTCTCCATTGGTCGATGTGGGATGTTACATGCAAGCTCATCCGACAAATTCATGCATACCCTAGTCAGGCTTCTTCCCCGATTAAGCGTTGCGTTGAACTAGAAATATGTTTGGGCTCAACCTTGGATTTTTTGGGACTCAACAGATGGAGATGAGAGAATTTGTCCAACTATTGAAAATGAAAATTTATAATGTTAGAATCTCGAATTTTATATACATGAAAATCCAAATGTGCATGAAAGTTTAAAATTTCTAATGAAATTCTATGTTATCAGAATTTTAAAAATTAACACAAATAAATTAATACATGAAAATCTTAAATACATTTCCTCCATTGTTGCAAAGACTACATTTGCATAAACTGCATGGAAATCTGATTTTTTACATCCTAAATAGGCATCTCCCCACTCTAAACATTCTTATAAAATTATGTAGACATGAAAAGAAAAATAAAAAACAAAAACAAAAAACAGGGAAGAGAATCTTTTGAAGTCTTTCCCTTTCCTTTAGCTTTACCTTCCTCTTCATCCCTTTTCTCTCCGATGCTGTTTGGTCTTTTCCCTCTCAATTACTGAATTACTTTCCCTTTGTCTGAGATATGTAGAGATGCCTATTGCCAACTCCTCTACGAAAAGACTTAAAAAAGTTTCTCAAAAGCCCTCTGCTTTTATTTCCTTGTCTGCCATTAAAATGCCATAAATATAAACACTCTACTTCTTCTCTCCCATCCCCACTTGCCACCATCTCTCCCTCTCCCTCTCCCTCTCTCTCTCTCTCTCTTTCTCTCTCTCTCTCTAGGTAGAGAGAGAATAAAAAACTCTGGTCATTTTCCGGCGGTTGCTCTCGTTTTCACTTTACTTAATATCTCCCATTTTCCATCTTTGTCATTGACTCTTCACCTGAAAATGGGTTGATATTTTGCGTCCAAAGTCACACGAAAACTGGTTTTCGTCTGCTTTATCTCACCTTGGGTTCTGCCATTAGTCCCATTTCACATCTGGGGTTTTCCAAAAATCCCAACACAACCCATCAAAAACAGAGAAAGGCGCGACCTTTATTAAGCCAAAAAAAAACACACACACACACAAACACAAACAAAGAACAAGAAAACATGATCAGTTTCACAGACCTCTACCACGTTCTCACAGCTGTTGTGCCACTCTATGTGGCCATGATCTTAGCCTACGGCTCAGTGAAATGGTGGAAGATCTTCAGCCCTGATCAGTGTTCGGGCATAAACCGCTTTGTGGCTCTGTTTGCAGTTCCTCTGCTCTCTTTCCACTTCATCTCCACCAACAATCCCTATGCCATGAACTACAGGTTCATAGCAGCTGACACTCTTCAGAAAGTCATAGTCTTGGTGGCCCTAGCAGTATGGTCAAGAACCAGCTCAAGAGGCTCTCTAGAATGGTCCATAACTCTCTTTTCTCTCTCCACTCTCCCCAACACTCTGGTCATGGGCATACCCTTGTTAAAGGGCATGTATGGAGATGCCTCAGGCAGCTTGATGGTCCAAATTGTGGTCCTCCAATGTATCATTTGGTACACGCTGATGCTCTTCTTGTTTGAGTACAGAGGAGCTAGGCTCTTGATTGGGGAACAGTTCCCAGACACTGCTGGCTCCATCATTTCCTTCAGGGTTGATTCTGATATCATTTCCTTAGATGGAAAAGAGCCGTTGCAAACTGAAGCTGAGGTTGGTGAAGATGGCAAGCTCCATGTCACTGTCAGAAAATCTACAAGCTCTCGCTCTGAAATCTACTCCAGAAGATCCCACGGACCCAACTCTGGCGTTTCCTTAACTCCAAGGCCTTCTAATCTAACAAATGCTGAGATTTACAGCCTTCAGTCTTCAAGAAACCCAACTCCCAGAGGTTCAAGCTTTAACCACACTGATTTCTACTCCATGGTGAACGGCAAGAACATGAGCAATGCGAGTCCAAGGCAGTCAAATTATGGAAATGTTGGGTTTGATGAAGAGGCAGGAGGAGTTGGGATGAGAGGAGCAAATGGGGTTTATCCGCCGGGGAATTCAGGGTATCCCGCACCTCCTACAGCCGGAATTTTCTCTCCGGTGACAGGGCCCAATGCGAAGAAGAAACCCAATGGGGCTGATGGCGGTAAAGACCTCCACATGTTTGTTTGGAGCTCAAGCGCCTCACCTGTGTCTGAAGGAGGCATTCATGTTTTCAGAGGTGGAGAGTATGGCAACGACATTGGTGGGGTTGCTCACCAAAAGGGTATGCTAATTTGCCAACACTAATCTTTGAGAATATTTGTCACATGGGCATGCTTGTTTTGGCTCTATTATTAGATTGTTGTGTTTGTGATGTGTAAACTATTTGTTAAGGTTTTGGATCTTTCTGTACGTTTATGCAAACTGTATTTGTCTGGATGAATGTGGGATTTGATTTTTATCTGCTTGTGGGTGAAGAAGTGGGGTTTGTTGGATTTTGTTTGTTATGCCCCATTTTTCTCTTGTTGCTTTTCCAAAACAAAATCCCCTGTTTTTTGTTTCTGGGTCTTATTTTGTCATTATGGTGACTAGTGGCATTGCTTTTTGGCTTGTCCTTTTTTCTCATGTTTTGATCTGCAACAATTGGTTTTTGCTTTCATATTTAGATTATGATGAGTTTGGCCGAGATGAGTTCAGCTTTGACAACAGACCAAATTCAAATGGGGTTGACCGGGAAGGTCCTGTGCTTTCCAAGTTGGGTTCAAGCTCCACCACTGAACTCCATCCCAAGACAGCTCATGGTGAACCAAAGGCCACAGCCATGCCTCCTGCTAGTGTTATGACCAGACTGATTCTTATCATGGTTTGGCGAAAACTCATTCGGAACCCAAACACTTACTCCAGCCTTATTGGCCTCACCTGGTCTTTAGTCTCATATAAGTAAGCGTAACTAAATTGTGAAATACTTTCTAAGGGTTTTACAATCATAATTGGAAGTTTATAATCTGTGTTGTGATTTTCAGGTGGCACGTTGTTATGCCCGCAATCGTGGCCCGTTCAATCGCCATTCTGTCAGATGCAGGTCTTGGAATGGCCATGTTTAGTCTTGGTATGTTAAACTTCCAAAGTTAATGCTTTTGTGCTAAATATTATACAACTCTAGTTGGACAACATGTTCTTAGATGGCTAAAATATGTATTATTGATGAGCATTATCTTTAATGGGATTGCAGGCTTGTTCATGGCATTACAACCAAAGATGATTGCCTGTGGAAATTCAGTTGCATCCTTTGCCATGGCAGTTCGATTCCTCTCTGGTCCGGCTGTCATGGCGGCAGCCTCAATTGCTGTAGGACTGCGAGGTGTTCTGTTGCACATTGCCATTGTACAGGTAATGAAAGTTTGCCTGTGGAAAATTCTTCGAAGGCTTCAATGGATAACAAATAACCTTTTGTTCTGTGATTTCAGGCAGCTCTTCCACAAGGGATTGTTCCCTTTGTCTTTGCCAAGGAATACAATGTTCATCCTGACATACTAAGCACCGGGTTCGAAACATGAACTTCATCTTGATTTTAATTCCACTTCTTAGTCTTAAACTTGTAGTAATCTGATATAAGCAAGTTTGTTTTTGTGTTCTGCAGGGTAATTTTTGGAATGCTAATTGCTCTGCCTATCACATTGGTTTACTACATCCTGCTTGGACTGTGAAACAGAATCTCTTAACTTCTTGAGCAAACAGTAGTCATAATGTAGTTCTCACCATTTTGGCATTGGGATTTTGCTTTTTGGCTCTCTAACAGAAGAACAGCATAGATTTTCAGAAGAACGTAGACAAGAAGATAGAGATGTGGGAGGAAATATAATGACAAGTTCTCTTCGCACAAGGTAGATAGAGAGAGAGAGAGAAGAGAGAGAAGAATCAGAGATGGAGAAATGAGCTTTTATGGAAGCTCTGCTACTTTTTATTCTCATTTTGCCCTTTTCTATGAACCCTTTGTGCCTTGGTTTTTGGTTCTTTTGATGAAGTGAAGCTTGTTTGTAGATGGAGATGCCCTCTACTTTCTAACCTTTTATTTTTCCTAAGGTCAAAAAGGATTTAATCCCAATTGGAATCTCTATGCTAGAAATTTAAAGCCAAACCAAAACTGCTTTTTCTACAAGAAAAAGTCTGCAGCCAAACAGTGGATGCCTTCTACAGCCCGAACATATCAAATGCGTGCTAGTTGTTTATTGGGTTTTGTGGTCTTTCTGCCTTTTAGGCAGTGCTTAATGTTACCAGCTGTGAGCTGTGACTTGAATAAATATAGCCCAATATAATACATATCTGCTTTTTTCTCAAGCACTTAAATTTAATTTTGGTCATATCTGCTTGGAACTTGAAAATGAGAGGCATGGCAAAAGCTTTGCAGGCAAGCTGCTAGAAAAGATAAAGCAAATGTATAGCAGCAGCCTAGCTGACATGCTGAGGGGAGCCTATCTCCATAGCCAATGTCGGTTGGTATTGCTCAAAGTCTTGCTTTAAGGATGTGTTTGGCAGAGCTTGTAAAGCTCTACGCTGCTGGTCTTTGAATTGGGGAACACTAGGGACCGCTGAGAGAGAAAATTGCTTTCCAAATGAACGAGGAGCTTAAACTTTAACTTTTGCAGCAAGTTGCCCAATAAAGTTTCTGCTGAGAAGAATGGAAAATATTTTCAACCTTTTGTTGTGTGATTTGAACCTCTTTTTGCTCGTTGCGTTGTCTATCAACCAGTAAAAAGCTCTTCAGAATGCTAGTAGGTCGGGATGAGTGGTTGCTTGCTGTCCAGGATTTTTTCTAGGGTTTGTTGCCCTTAAGTTGTCACGCTTGGATTTAACCTTAAACCAAACCAAAGGGAGTGAAATCCAAATTCACTTGAAAGACTAGTTAAACCAAGATTGTTTTTTTTACTAAATTACTTCATGGATTTGTCAAACTCCCAAAAATGAACATAAGTTCTTACATTACAATTACTTGTAATTTACAGAAATGAAAAAAAAAACCGCAACTCCTTCCTACTCAAGTACATGGTTATAGAACTTCCCTTGTATATTGTCTTTCAAAAGTACAACATTAACCTTTTAAAAGGATTCTAAAGCTTTTAAGATAACCACAAGATCTTATATTTCGTGGCCAAAACGTCAAAAAGAGCTTAACTTCAAGTCTAATCTTTTCTGAAAGGGATCGGAAATGGTGCGTTATAAAGCTTGGTAAGCAAAAATATTCATGGGCACGAGTGAGGGTGAGGACCACAACTATATAGGAGCTGAAACATAAGTAATATTTCAAATTTGCTAACCCGTTTGGTTCATGAAAAAGGAGGTTTGGGTATGAGAAACCAATTGTTTTCCCATGTTTGGTAAGTCAATGCATGAGAAATGGTTGCATGGCACATGAGAAAGTAAATGAGAAAATGAAGCCCTCCTCCCAACTTGGGTTTTGTTTTCCCTATTTATGGAAAAGTTTGGAAAAACGAGCCAACATTCAATGCACATTTTTCATGATCATTTTGTCTCCATTAACAATTTAGAATTACAATATATCATTAAATGCACTCCTTTTTTATTTGATTTAATATTGGTATAATTGGAAAATTATACAAACTTTGTTTTCCATTCATACTCAAAACAAATATGGGAAATGAAATAAAATGAAATCTCCCGGTTACTTTCCCGGCATTACCAAACGTGGGAAATGAATTTTTCATTCTCATCCCTTAATAAATAACATGAGAAATGATTTCCTCTTAAATCCGTTCCGTGAACCAAACGAGACCTAAGAGGACAAGAAATTTTTTGAGCCCTACTGCGAGAGTAATATTCTATTCCAAATGAACTAAAGTTTCAAGTCTTAACCTAAAAGTTTCGAGGTTCTTCTATTTTCACTTTCCAATCTGATTGAAGCCTAACAAAATTCTTTTGCAATAGGAATGAAGTTAATGAGTTCTCTTCCCTCCTCCACGCCACCGCACCATCTAATCCCATAAAGAGAGAGAGAAGAGAGCTGGAGAGCAAATCTTGAGGATATAGACTACTTGTCAAAATGTACATCTTCTCGTCTCATGACACACACAGCCATCATAATCATCCTTCATCATTTCAATTCATCAAAAGCCGCATCTTCAGTTAAAGCAAGCTAGATTTATGGGGCTGCTATAAAATATGTAGTTTGGGTCCTTCCTTGAGAGAGAGAGAGAGAGAGTAGTCAATGATGGTGATAATTAAAGAAAATGGTATTAAGTATTCAAATGTGCGAGTGACAGCAATCTCAATCAAAGTGACTGTCTGGTTTGCTTAAACTTTTTTTTTCTTAAGTAGTGCTTCCACCTTTTCTCTTCCCTTTTCATGGAAAACCTAATTGAACCAGGAAAGTTGTATGCAGAGCATGAGATGATTCTGCAGAATATAATGATGAAACCCAGCAGCCACCTTGTATTTTTAATCATCTTTCAAGGAATGTGCAGCACGTGTGCCACTTGGGTCACATTGCCCCATTCAAACTTTTCTTTGTTTTATGCCCCATATATTATATAAATATAAATGCATATGTTATTAGTTGTAAAATCACATGGAAGAGTACTAGTTTTATAAGATGAGAATGTTTGTGAATACATGGGTTATGTGAGAGTTTGGTGTTAGTGGCGACAAGAAAGCCTGTTTTTAACTTAATAAAATCAAAAGACAAAAGCCAACGTGTCTAGCCGAGTGGAAAGAGCTCTAACTTGCAGACGTGTGATTTCAGATTTTAATCATCATGGCACCTTGACATTGTGTGTCTGTAATCTTCTTTCCCAATTTCGTTTGTAGAAAAAGAAATTAAAAAGGAAAAGGGAAACCAAACAAACAAAAGCAGAATGGTGGGGTGTGTAGGTACTTGATGCATCCAGTGCGGGCTCAAACTAATTTTAAGTAGCTTTTCTTACTTGAGGCCCAAAATGTATCAGATACCCTATAACTTATTATATAGCCCAAATAAAAAAGTCCTAAACAAAAAGAGACCACCCAAAATTAAGAAGAGAGGACTACTGAAATTAAGAGCCCGCGAACAATACTTCATGGCCCATCCATATAAAACAGATCCAAACGGCAAGCATCTTCGCTTATATGGAGGCTAGAATGAGGGGTCATCGTGAGGGATTATAATGAGAGGGTTCTTAATAGTCGTTCGATTTAGTGCATAGTTATTATTGAACTATAGAATTGAACTTCCTCATTGTAACCCCTCAACATAGCCTCTCATTATAGAAGCTCCCCCTTTGCTTAAGACAAAGATTGATGTTTGGTCTAAGATTCGATCTAAACTTGTGGGTCCTTAGCTCCCATGCCACAAGTTTCTCATGCCAAATATTTTCCACATTATCAACACTTTCTCAAACTCAAGTAACATCCTTCCACTATTAGACCAGCAATAACATATATTGCTATGTTTTGACATGAAAGAAATTAACTGTTTTTTTTCCCCGACTAAATTGTTTCCATATTCATTTTCTATGCTCACTTATTTCTTAGTGACACCGTCAACATGTCTACATGATTGATTTGTAAAGTGTCAGACATGATATATATATAGTCTCGTTCTATTGAGGGATCCCTCAAATAATTTATTTGAAGGACGCCCTTTAGAGTACTTTACAAATTTTTTTCCAACGATCTAAACCATATATTTTTTAAGTCTACATTCATAAATCATTCTTACAAAAAATTAGACAAATCAGAAACCATTTCGACATCCAATTGTATCATACAAAATCAATAAACACGGTGCTTCAAGAAAGTACTAAAATTTCAATAACACATTTGAATGTCAAATGATATCGGATTCAATTAATATTTTTTTGTAGAGATGATCTTTGAATGATTATCTAAAACATAGACGGTTTGGATTAATGAAATATAATGCGGAGTAAGCCCTACAAAAATGTCCCTCAAATAAGTTAATTTGAAGAATCCTCAATGAAAGCTATAATATATTCCAAAATGTACTAGCGGGCTGTCGTCAAGTGACCTTACCCAAGACAAATGCTGCTTGTTTTTTGTTTTTGTTTTTGTGGTCCATTACAAAAGTAAATATAATGCTTACAAAAACATGTCAAACTATCAACAAGAATTAAACGTCCAGGCATTTACACTCGACAAATAGATTCTGATTTGAATTCCAAACTGGAAAATGTGCAACTTTTGTTTGGAAAAGAGTAAACCAACAAAAAAATGGCTTGACTTTTGCCCCCCGGCCCTCTTTTCTTTCATACCATGTTTAATTTGAAACGAAAATATTCACATTGGGAAATAGTAGGCGGGTCATGTAACACATTGAAACTGAGAAACTTCATCTTAAATAAAATAAATAAAAAAGTTACTTACGTTAACACTCGCTAAGGTTTTTATTATTATTTTTAAATACCCCTAAGATTTCAGAAATTACAGAAACACCCATTGAGGTTTTAGGTTGTTTTCACAAAACCACTTTTCGTTCAAAAATTAATGATTTTTATATAAAATATTTCTTCAAATGATAAAGTTAGCCTTTGAGATTAGATTGCACATACATTTATCGTTTGTTATTTGCATAATTTTTATTGTATGAAATCATCAAGCTTTGGACGAAAAATTAATGAAAATGGGTTTTGTGAAAACAATTTAAAACCTCAAGGAGTTTTATGAAAAAGCCAAAAATCTCAGGAGGTGTTCATGAAATTTCTCCATTTCCTATTTGGATCATTGATTAAAAACAAAATGTTAAAGAAAGAGTAACTATAATCTGGAAACATCCATTCTCAATCCTAGGAGTACTTTGATAATCCCATCCAGAAAAATAGAGCAGGATACTCGAAATATGCTTATGCTAGAGATGCTAAAATAAAGTAAAACCATAAAGTCCAAGGCCGCAAATGTGATTATTGTTCAAGTTATGTATGTGAGTGTTTGCGGTACATGCTCTCAAATATTTAAGTTACAAGCCCTTTGTTACTATTAAAAAAATTTAAAACAAAAAAATAACATTTAGTCCACACATTGCTTACATGGCTTCCACGTCCACAAAAAATGCATGACCCACGTTATATTCTATATCATTAGTTAACATAATTTTTTATGGCATTTGCCACATTATTGCTACATGGAGCAAAGCCAAGGTGGCTAATTATAAATTTTTTTTGTTTAGGTGGTACTTGACAAAAGCTTAAATGCATGTGATATATAATATTCAGTTCTTTTCCTATGCAGATGTATGTACGTTATTATTGTATAGATGCTATTGTAAACAATGAGAAAAGTATGGAGGGGTAGTAGCAAATCAATGGTGTTCCCACGGTAACAACGTTCGGACTTCCGGACTCATAAAACCCCTTTCCATTGATTTTTCATTCAAAAATTGATGATTCCAAATGATAAAGTTAGCCATTGAGATTAAATTACACATACATTCATTGAGGTTTGTTATTTGCTTAAGTTTTTATTATATAAACACATCAAGCTTTGGACGAAAAATCAATGAAAATGGGTTTTGCAAAAACAATTTAAAACCTCATGAGTGTACGTGTAATTTCTGAAACCTCAAGGGATTTTGTGAAAAAGTCGAAAACCTTAGGAGGGTGTTAATGTAATTTCTTTGTTTTTTAAAGAACAATCAATGAAAATGAGTTTTGTAAAAACAATTTGAAACCTCAAAGGGTATTCATGTAATTTTAAAACCTCAAATAGTTTTTTTAGAAAACACTAAAAATCTCAAGAGATCTTACATGTAGGAAATGTCATCCCATTATCTTATACCTTTTTTTGGAGACTTGCTATGAAGAGTTTTAGTGGCCCTAGAAAATACCGTACAAAAAAACAAATGGAACTGAAAATTGCAGAGCATTTTATCGTCATACTCACATCATCATATAAGAATTCCACTTTTTGTCATCCCTCCCTTTTCCCCAATAAAAATAAATAAAAATATAAAACCCATTTGGACCCCAAAATTCACGGATATATATAAAACCCTAAAGACAAAAGACTAAACCACCGAAAGTCTCCAACACTTTCATTTCATTTCATTTCAGTACACACACACACACACACAATATATATATATATATATATGTATCTCACTCATCTCTCTCACTTGGTCGGTCAAAAAGCAAATCAGAAAACAAGAACAGTATTCAGTGAGGAAAAAAAAACTTGACTCAGACAAGAACAAGATATGCAGCCAGCTGATCATCAAAACCAAGAGCTCTATCGTTTTTTGGCCCAAAACGGGTTAATTAACGTGAACAACAATAATGGTTCATATGTTGGGTTTCCAGGAGGAGCTAGCTGTGATCAGTTTTCAGCTATGCAAAGCTTTTGCAGCTCTTCTTCTTACAATTATTACCCTCTGGAAGTCTCTGGAGTTAGCACTGAACATGAAACCTCACCTCAAGATAGAGCCCTTGCTGCTCTCAAGAATCACAAGGAGGCTGAGAAGAGAAGGAGAGAGAGAATCAACTCCCATCTCGATAAGCTTCGAGGCCTTCTTCCTTGCAATTCCAAGGTACCCTCAGTTCATTAATCATATATATTTGTTTTTTGCAAGGTTAATTTTGAAGTTTTTTTTTGGGTTTGTGTTTGAAAGTTTGAACTTTGCTCTTAATAATTTGTTTTGCTTTGTCTGAGATCGTTTCTCACTTCATCCACATTCATTTTTCTCTTTGTTGACTGATGTTTGGTTGGTGAGAAAAGAAAAAGTTGGCAAGTACTGCTGGAATTGGAATCCTAGACTTTATCTCACTTTTGACCAAGGAATCAAAGATTTTATGTTCATTGACTTGTGCTAAATTACAAGTTTTACTAATTAGAATCAGTACTTATATTATTTTTTTGGTAATAGTGTAAGGATCAAGTGTTTTCACTAATTCATTCTGAATTAATTAAATTCAGAAAAAAAGTTTCTTCTAGTGAACTGCTTTTACAAGTGAAATTCAAAGATCTTGGATCTATACAAAGCTTAGGTTCTTTTGAAGCTTTTGAATGTTCAAACTCTAAGTACTATCTGAAAAAGAAAAAGGGATCAATGGAATTGTAGTACTCAGACTGGTCTTAAGTGTACATATACTGTATTTGGGAAAGTTGTTGAGCTTTTTACAATTAGGGTTTCTTATTATTATCTTTCTTCTAATTCTAATTTTTTTTTAATTTTAAAACAAAAAAATCAGACAGACAAAGCCTCTCTGTTAGCAAAGGTGGTTCAACGAGTGAAAGAGCTGAAACAACAAACTTCAGAGCTCACTGAGCTTGAGAGCTTCCCTTCTGAGACTGATGAAATCACTGTGCTCTCTTCGGATGATTATTCAAGTGATGGAAGAATTATTTTCAAGGCCTCTTTGTGCTGCGAGGACCGGACCGACCTCCTACCTGACCTAATTGAAATTCTAAAATCCCTCCATCTGAAGACACTCAGAGCTGAAATGGCCACCCTCGGAGGAAGAATTCGCAACGTGCTTGTCGTTGCTGCGGATAAAGATCACACCATTGAATCAGTCCATTTCTTGCAGAATGCGTTGAAGTCTTTACTAGAACGCTCAAATGCTAGTGAAAGATCGAAAAGGCGACGCGTATTAGACCGCACATTAGTCCTTTAATTAGTACTAGCTAGTACATACTGCTAAAATGGTGATCATAACTATTTTCAAGTTCGTCTTTCATTCTATATATTTTCTCATATATGTAATTTTGTTTGAAATTAATTGTGTGGGTTTGTTTTTAATTTATATATGGAGTTGTTTTTTAGGGCTTTCAATCTCAGACTCAGAGCACTCTTGTTGCAATTCGCATGCATGTGATCCTTTGTCTTCATGTAGCAAAAAGAAACAATTTTAATGAATGATTTTATGAAGTAGAAGATCATAGATTCTACTGCACGTGAAGTACGCTTCTATGAGTTTCCTTTTTTTCATGCATCTGTGAAAGTTTCTCAGAGGCTGAGCTTGCTGCTCTGAGCTCTCAAGTTCTGAACAAATATATACATATATATATATATATATATATATTACACTGATTCTCAAGAAAGCATGAAAGAGGAAAGTTATGAAATTCTTAGATTTGAGATGAGATATGATGCTTGCTTTAGTGTTGATATATGTGGTGAGCAGCTGAGACAGGGAGAAGGAGACAGTAAAGGACATGGTTTTTAAGCCCAAGAAACCGAGCGCTGTGCTTCCATTTCCAGCACAGCCTGAAACCAAAAAAAAATAGAAATTCCAGACTTCAGAAAAGAGAAAACATTCTCACACGTATCAAGGCGGATCCCTGCCTTAGTGTTAGTTTTGAATTAAAGAAAATACTAGGCGAATCACATTTTTATACCACATTGTGTATCATCTTTCTAATAGAGACGGGCTCCCATTGTATTGGTGGGCGTCATCTCTATCAGAGATGTGGTACACAATATGATATAAAAATGCGGTAAACCTAGCGCATTATCCTTGAATTAATTCACACTAACTATTTTTTCTTTATTATTTTATTCAGAAGATAATTAAAACAGAACGTACTTGCTATTAGGTAGATTCCACTATTTTTGTCCTCATGTGAATCCAAAACCCACTACTAGAAAAAGGGCTAAAGAAGGCCACAGATTAATTCCTTTTGCACACACTAGACAACAATGTCGATATCTAACTACTTGTTTGTACCAAAATTTGCACTTCTCTGAGTCGTTTTTGGCGGACGCGTTCATCTACATTTTAAAGCACGATTAGAGTTAGCTTGAAGTCCAAGTTAGATAGGTTAAGACACCTATAAGTATAACGTTTAAGCCATCAAACAAGACTTCAACCCAAATGACTTCATATACTGTAAACATATTTCAAAGATTCCTGAGCGATTTCAATTCTTCCGAATTTCATCCAAATCCTAAATTACCCTCGAAGATTTCTCTGTCACGCCTTGTTGGTATGATCTCCAGTTGACGTTCATCCCAACTAAAGATTGTTGCAACGATGAGTCCTACATTCCTCCCTCGAAATCGAGTTCTTGTTTTTTTTTTTTTTTTTTTTTTTTTTTTTTCTTTCTTGTTTTCCTTGAGTTCATCATAGTGCATCGCACACAAATATTTTAAAAAGAGATTTACTCATCATTAGAAATTATTATTGAGTCTAATCAAGGCTTGATTGTGTTTGACCAAACAATAGCGGGTGCACTTCACAAAATCTTGCTGACCGAACAATGGATCTCTCAGAGCTATTGTATCCAGGTGTCATCACATTATAGGGTTACCTTGAAGTCCAAGTTAGATAGGTTAAGACACCTACAAATATAACGTTTAAGGCATCAACAAAGACTCTCCAATTCCTTCAACACAACAGACTTCAACCAAAAGTAGTTCACATATTCTATACATATTTCAATCTCCGCAGAGATTCCTGAGAGATTTCAATTCTTGCTGGTATGATCTCCAATTGACGTTCATCCCAACTAAAGATTGTTGAAACAATGACTAAATTCCTTTCTCGAAATTGAGTTCCATTGCTTTTTTCAATTTACTTTGCTTTCTTGTTATCCATCGAGTTCATCATAGTGATGGGGCTCGCACTAAATATACAAAAAAAAGAAGAGATTTACTCATAATTATCAATTATTATTGAATATACAAAAAAGAGATTTACTCATAATTATCAATTATTATTGAGTATAATCAAGGTTTGATTGTTTTTTACGAAACAATAGCGGTTATTGATGCAATTTTCCTCTCGAGTAGATTCGAGAAGATCCTCGCACCTATTCGCTTTTCCAAGATTTCTTGCAAAATAAGAATGGTCAATCGGAGAACATTGGTGATGTGTTGGCCAAGAGCCTTCCGATGTCTAAGTTAGAATACGGTCTCAGAGAGATGCATATATTTTTGAAGGAAATGAGTTTTCTCTTAGGGAGAGAGGAGAAGTGGCGTGAGAACCAAAAAGAGAGAGAGAGAGAGAGAGAGTTCTCTAGGGCTCTTTGTGATATAAACTTATCTTTATATAGCCTCATCATCTTGTGCCATATTTGGTATGATTTATGGGAGAATAAATCTTTTTTTAAGGGAATTATTTATTTTCATAAATAAAAAGATCAAGGAGATTTAATGCAATCTGAATCCTTGACTTATGAAGATATTTCCCATTTTAAATCAAATTAATAGGTCAATAATCAAAATGACCTAGGTTATATTCCAATTTCCACGTCGCGTCACCCAAGTGATTGCCGAAAATTCCTTGTTCCCACAGTGGCTACACTTCACTATTTCAAAATCTTTGTCTAAACTGTGGCAGTGTGAGGTTGTGGCGTACTGCGGTCCATCGTAACCATTGACAATCTGTGCCTATGTACAAGACTTGGGTTGGGCACAACAATCCATTAAAAAGAAAAATCACAATGCCATTTCTACAAAAGTACTAAAAAGGGTTATTGGGCAGAAACCATTATTTGCGGATTCAAAACTATATGGTTCATTAATATGAAAGGATAAGAGCGAGTGAACCCGTTGAATCTAATTGCAATGGGACTCCTATTATTCTAGTTGAATCTAAACGTGATGTGCAAGATTTAAGTTATCTTCTATGGGTAGGAAACTATAGGCATGACATATATATAAAAGCAAAGGTCCCCTCCCTAGTTGTGGTTTATGCTATTCCCATTGTAGCCTTGCAAGGTCCGATTCCGGGGAATTCATGGCTTCAGGTTAGTCTTTTTAGTTATTTATGTTTTTACATGTGGTATCAGAGCATACGATAATATATATACTTGATAAACTATAAACTATGACATGTCTTTAGGATTTCGTATCAATTTTGGTATTAATTTTCTGAACTTCGCTTATGAATTGCCGTGACCCATTATGTGTGTATATGTATATGTATGATTCAGAAAATTAAATATATATTTTCATGATGGCGATAATATATAAATTAGGGTTTTCAGTGGTATGATATTATTACTATTGTGTCTTGAAATTGTTAAGCATGATTATTTCAGTTGTTATAAAGAATTATAAACCCTAATTTGAAAACTGTAAATTAGTGCATAGAATTGCATATATAATAATTCATGTCGAGTTAAGTCTCTCTGCTCGAAAGTGTTAGCCTTTTTTATTTTATTTTTATTTTTTTACAGTTTATACTGGTCCAGATTTGAGTTCGATAGAAACTTTGAATGGACCAAATTATGAGAAGTGGAAACTAGACATAGAGGTAGTTTTAGGCCTTATGGATTTAGATTTGGCTTTGATTGAAGACAAGCCTGCAGCTCTCACTGCTTCCAGTACATCTGAACAGAATTGAAGTTGAAGAATTGGGAAAAATCGAATCGAATGTCTCTCCTTGTTATGGAGAAGACAATTTCTGCATCTGTGCTTGAGGAAATACCTGCTTCTGAGAATGCAAAAGAGTTTTTGGCATCTATAGTTCAGAAGTATAAGCCAGAAGCTAAGGCACAAGTTGGAAAATTGATCACTGCTCTCACTTCTGCTAAGTTTGATGGTGTTGGGTCTGTAAGAGAGTATATTCTGGGATTGGCTGGCATTGCAAATAAGCTGAAAGTGCTCAAGGTCCCCATAGATGAGACCTTCTTGGTGCATATTGCCGTAAACTCTCTTCCAAGCTCTTATGGGCAATTGGTTAGAGTATACAGCATTATGAAGGAGATGTGGACAGTGAATGAGCTTATTTACGTGTGTGTTCTACAAGAACAGAGGCAAAAGAATGAGAAGGGAAAGCGAGCTTAAGTGTCAAATCAAAAGGATTCGTTAATTAGTCTCGCCCTAAAATTTTAGTTTTGACTTAGATTTGATAGATGTTGTTTATGTACCTTCTATGCGATAAAATATTTTGCGAAGTTTTGTAAAGAATTACTACCTACATCAATGTTTTTATCAATTTTCTACACAATTTTCTCGTAACTCCCTCTTCCTCTGGTCTATTTTTCTCCTTGCTATGTCATTATGACGTGAATAAAGTTGTTAAACTGGTTTAGATTTAACAACTAAATGAGAAGTTTATTTGGTAAAACATAAATCTTGACCGACTTATATCAAAATGGGAGGGATAGATAGATAGAGGCAGTGAAGCGTGCAAAAAGGAGGCTGACAAAAAGCATCAAGATTTCTGTTTTGTTTGAATATAATTTTAATTTTTTGGCATGACAAAAAAGCGACAATGATGATGATGATAGTTATTTGCATGTAGTGATAGATACAGGGGGGAGGGAGGGAGAGAGAGAGAGAGAGAGAGGAGGGGGGGTGGGGGCTTGGTTGGATGGTGGAGAAAGTGGGGACTGTGGTTACTCTTCTGCATATTCAAAGGCCTTTTGCAATTGGCAGCAGCAGCAGACAAATGCATTGCGCTTTGGGATGGCCCCCTGTCCTTTGTCGGGGACGTGCTCTCTCTGTCTCTGCCAGCCCCCCTTCCTTTCCAACTGGCGTGCGTTTTTATTCTCACCCTCTCTGAATTCTCAGCTTAATTGCCTCCTCCTCCTAAACCCTAATGCCTATGCAATGCTCTTTGCCTCTTTGTCTTTGCTTGCATGCATAACTCTCTCTCTCTCTCTCTCTCTCTCTCAATCATTACTACTCCACTCTCCCTCTCTCCATTCGTTCCCAAATTCTATC